CCGACAGCCTTTACTGGTGTGACATACACAGCAGTCACGCATCCGATGCCTCCCGACCAAAATCGCAAGCAGGTTTCAACGACGAGATGGGCTCTGGCCTTGGTGGGCTTGTGCAGCCTAGAGCGCCGAAACGCAGCCTGTTCAAGAAGCTCTTCGACACAGCAAAGACTGGCGTGGCCACCAGCCGGAGCAACCTGGGGTCCGGCGGCGATCTGGCCAGGCCATCACCCTTTTCCCGCCCGACGACCGCAGCCTCCCCTGCAACCTCTGGAATGTCCTCCATGACAGGCCTTGACAGCTCGTCCGTCGGCAGGAATGCTGCCAAGGAGATGGGCTTGGGGTCTGGGGTAGACTGGGTCCAGGTCCGCCGAGACATCAATCGCTCCAACTCGCTGAGCAAGATTGAGCGCCACGAGCGCCAAGATCGGTGCCAAATGCTTGACCACCCCGCTCTCAACCCCGTAGACGAACTCTACCAGGGTGCCGAGGGTGACGAAGGCGCGAACGGCATGCCTGTTGACGATCCAATCGACTACCAGTCTATCAACCTCAGCCAGGTCGACAAGAGCACTCGCTTCATCAGCAGCCTACCTCCGCTTACAACAGCCGTCACCTTGGCGACATCCTATGTCTGCCGTCCGTATCGCAGCGACGTCCAGCGCATGCGCGCCATCTTCTCCTGGGTCTCGGAGAGGATAGCGTGGGAAGAAGACTTTGAGGGCGAAATCGACACCAGGCGCGTCATTCAAAGCAAGCGAGCCTGCGCCGAAGAGTACGCTGTCTTGGTGATGGAGATGTGTGCCGCCGTGGGCATCGAGTGCGAGGTAGTCCGCGGGTACCTCAAGACACCGGGCGAAACGCCCGATTTTGGCATCATGCCCCGGTCCAACCACTGGTGGAACGCAGTCCTGGTCGACAACGAGTGGCGTATGGTTGATTGTTGTCTCGCCAGCCCCTCCAACCCTCGCCGGCACCTCTACTCTGGTGCCGGCAATTCAGCTGCCGACTCGTGGTGGTTCCTCACTCGCCCGACCCAGCTGTGCTGGACGCACATTCCTGAGCACCATGAGCAGCAACACATTTGCCCACCGCAGGCGCACGAGGTGTTGCTCAACCTGCCCTGTGCGTGTTCGCCGTACTTCAAGAACATGATGCAGATGGTGGACTATAACACGTCTCTCACACGCATTGAAGACCTCGAGATGGTGCACATCAAGTTCAACGTACCAGCCGACGTCGAAGTGGCTGCCGAAGTTGAGGTGCGTGCATACAGCCGGGACCAAGACGGCGATGTGTTTGAGAGCGGCGAAATGGTCAAGAAGAGGGCCCTTGCGCAGGCCGAGTGGTCCAACGGATACAAGCGATACACTGTCAAGGCGTTGCTGCCTGGTGACGAGGGCCAAGGCGTCCTCAAGGTCTACGCAGGCAAGCGTGGGCTGATGCACAGCATCAAGGACATTCCCCATCCCATGGCCTTTGCTCTGCCCATCACACACACGGGCGAGAACCCGCCCTATGATTTCGTCACGAGGCATCCGACGCCGCACGCCCAACGACACGACATTTACGTCGTCCAGCCACAGTGCCAGCGGCTGGCGCTCAACAACACCTTTGTGTTCGCCATCAGACAGCACCCGAGCTCGGCTATCGTGGACTCGATCATGACGCCGGCGTCGAACCCGGGCGCGGCGAGCCCCATACCGTTCGCTCGGCCAAGTTCTGCTATGAGCATGACCGCTTCTAGCGCCAGTGGATCCATCCCCAGTACCGTCAGCGGCAACAAGCCGGCCAAGCTCGCGATCCAAACGCCGGCGGGCAAGATTCTGCGCTTGATGCGCAAGGACGACCGCAAGGGTATCGGTGTCGGTGGCCGCAACACGAGGGACGAGGAGGGCAGCGACGGGGGCACGTGGGAGACTATCATCAAGTGCTCGGAGAAGGGGGTTTGGAGGGGTCTGGTGCTGGCTGACCGCACTGCGCGCTGGTGTGTTTTTGCCGAATGGGTCTGCCTCGGATGATTCTGTTTTTGGCTTGCGTTGCGTTGTCGATTATCTGCATCATGAAAGCTGGAGGGACGGCCAGGTCTCGGTGTCTGGGTCAACGGGACTTTATGGGGTTATCTGGGAACTGTCATGAGGAAGGCTGGGGATATGTTCTGCATGGTCGGGAGTTGGTGTCTGATTTGCGTTGCCATGTTCTGACTTGCGTACCATAATGACTGGACTAGCTGTACCATACTGGCGAACCGGCTGAGTATATGGCTGTCGCGATACATACAAAAGGTTCAACAAATTGCGCCTCTGTGCTCGGCGATTCCGCGGTGTTCCAGCTGTGGAGGGACGGAGAAGAAGAAAGAGAGAGAATTATTTCTGCTTCTTTTGCTCTGAAAAGCCCATCACCCTCTTGTGTCGCCCCATGAATCAAAGCGACCCATGGGCGGTCCAAATGGGGCCCCTTTTGGACAGTGTCGTCGAGAGCCCTCCTTACGGTGCACCCCCCGATAAGCGCGTGTAGGCCGCCGGATAAACTAGAGTAAACAGAGGGGGCAGCCCTTCACATCAAACGCAACAACCTACCCAATCCTCCATCAAAAAGCATGAGCATCACCCCCCCCGGAAACATAACCTTACAACGACCCATCGTTTGCTCTATCGATTTGTTCCCACTGTCCAGCAAGGGCGGCCTTCCGATGGCCCGATCGCCTGCACCGCCTGCCGCCCCCAGGGGCGCGGCCCATTCCCAGGTTGCAGCGCCGCCTGCCGCCCCGCGCCGCGGCGTCTCGCGCAGCCTGTTCAAGAGCCACCTCACGCGGCGCCCGACGCCGACGGGCACGGCGACGTCTTCGTCGAACGGGTCGGCGGAGACGCTGCGGTTGCCGGACGTGGACATCCACAGCGACTCGACGGAACTCGTCGTCAGGGACAAGCACGGTGAGATTGAGATTGGGGATCTGCCGATGGGCGTGTTGGATGACGGGGAGGAGGGGATGCATGACATTGAGGAGAGCAAGGGTCAGTCGCATTCACCCTCCCTCCAGAACAGTCTCGTGTGGAGCGACGCTGGAAGCGGCGCTGACGATCACAGTGGAAAGGCAGCGCCTCGCAGAGGCAGTCAAGCAGCATCAGGTCAATCACTCGACAATCCCCGAGCAGCCAGAAGGTACGTTGTATCATTCCCTTCCCCCCTCAGTCTATCGTCCGGGTATTCGTGTACCTCGTCAAGCTAAAACATCTCTCCCGCCCGCAGAGCTCCTCGAGGCGGTCCGCAAGAGCCTCAGGGCCAAGGTCGCGGCTCTCGACGAGGACCAGTGGATGTACGAGGATGGGGATGCATGCTTGCGACGTTAGCAGCCGCCCAAGCTCCCCTGGCCTCCCCTGCCGGGTCTTCAGTCCGGCCTCGCGCCGGGCGGGGACGACGAGCAGCAGTAGTCTCGTTCTCTCCATCTGGCTGGCTGGCTGGCTGGCTCCCTCCTTGCTCTTCTGCGGCGTGATGCGCCATGTCATGCCCGTCCCTTCATGCGCTTTTCATTTTCACCCCTAGACCTCCTTCCCTATAAAGCAAGCACCCCAGTAAAGCGTTACCTCAGCATCTCAACAACCAAATCCCCATTAGTCGAGACCCGCCGGCGCAGGCGCCTCGACTCGCCTCGTGGGCGCCCTCCTCTGCTGCGCACCGCCACCACCACCTCCCGCGGCGCCGCCGCCGAACAGGCTGCCCATCATATCCATGAGGGGGTTGCTCTGCCTGGGCTTGACGATGCCAAAGTACATCTCGGCGACCATCTCGAGGGCCTCGTTCCAGGCGCCGAGCTCAGCAATGTTAGCGGCGTACTTGTTGACGAGGGTGCGGTAGGCGTCGGGGGTGCCGCGCTGGATGGCGAGGAGCAGCAGGCCGAGGAAGTTGAGGAGCGGCAGGCCCGGGAAGATGCGCACGTCGGCGGTGGCGGTGCTGACGTCCTGGACGCCGCCGGCGCCGGCGTCGGCGAGCTGGCTGGCGAAGAGGCGGTAGGCGGCGTTGGCGGCGCGCAGGTTGCCGACGAGCAGGTAGGGCAGCACGGCGCGCGACGCGTACAGCGCCGCCGTGTGCGAGTCGTCCTCCTTGTACCAGGCGTACTCCATGCGCGCCAGCACCTCGGCCGAGTCGCGCGTGCCGAGCACCAGGTGGCGCTCCGCCTCGTAGGCCTCGTGCTCCTCGGCGTACAGGCTGCCCGCGACGTGGTGCAGCTCGGCGTCGCCGGCCGGGTAGTCGCCGAACTTGCTGGACCACCTGCGTCCCATGCATGTCAGCGCTCTGTCTTGGGAGGCGTGTGGCAGCGAGAAAAACAAAATACAGTAGACCGCGGGAATAGAAATGAATAAAGCATGCATTGGGAAAACTCACGCAATCATCTCGCTGATAAATGTCTTCCTCGTCGGCTCCCCGGGCCCGAAAAGGCGCAGGCACGTCAGCAGGCGGCCCTTGCTCGCGGCGTCGGGCCTGAGCTCGGCCTGCTTGTAGACGTCGACGAGCATGAGGCACAGGTCGCCGCCGGAACCGCCCTGGCCGGCCTTGAGCAGGGACTGGGCGACGCTGGCGAGTATGTCCACGGCGGCGGGCCAGTTGGCGGCCTTGACGTAGCGGGCGGCCACGACGCGGGTCTGCTGCTGGGCCTCGTAGTACTGGCCCTCGGCCGTGCGGGCCTGCAGGCGGGCGATGATCTTTTCGATCTTGTCGGCTTTGGAGGCCATGGCGGAGGATGTGTGTTTTGGGGGGGGGGGTTCGTGCGTGCTTCTCGTTCGTGGGAAAGCGTCAGGTATCGGGTCCTGGATCGAGACGAGATAAAAGGGTGTCGGGATACTGTGTGTCGGCGGCAGAGGAGGTGTAGCAGGAATCGGACGTCTGAATGTTTGGCTTGGGGTTCTTGGAAGCTTGATGACGGTGCCTCTCGACAGGGGGGGGGGGCAACTGTAGGAGGGTTGGACTGGGGCGGGGCAGCTTGTGTCGTGGAACCTCGCCGAAAGGGCGACCCCGCAGTCATGAAGCTCCCTCGGTCGCCTGGGCTACAATGGCGAGCGTGGTGTAATGGTAACATCTAAGCTTCCCATGCTTAGGCCCCGGGTTCGATTCCCGGCGCTCGCATGGAACTCGTGAGAACACGGGCAATGCCCCCATCATTTTTTGGTTTTATCTCCCTTTGCGATCTGGAACATGGGGGTCCTTTGTATCGCAACGGAGCCTTGACGCTCGGAAGCTCGGGGCGGGGTAGTGTGATTGGGGCCGCTGGGCGAGTCAGTCCTGCTTCTACCGGTCGCCTGTCTGACCAGTGCCGGGGCCGTCAACGGGGTGTCTCCCTCCTGTTGTCCGGAGGACGGCTACAGGGGAAATGAATGGGAGGTCCCGGTTCTGATGGCCGGGGGACATGCTGTGGACGTTCATGCTTCGTGTGACCTTTGTAGCACGACTTGCAATCAGTCCTAGGCATGGCATGCACAGGGAGCAGGAGCTGCAGTGTCTTTTCGGTAGCACCGAGTGCAAGGCTCAATGATTTTTGTGCGACTACAGGTCCTACAAGTCATAGGGATGTACCTAGTATGAAGTGAAGTCGCCTACAGTAAGTACTACGATCATTGTGTTTGATTTGCCCATGACCAAGGCGCGTGGGGATGTGTGCCAGCAAATGATGCAGACCGTCAAATCCGTCAGCTTGGGAGGAAATCTGCTCGCAATGAACCGGAGCACTATCTAACAACAAGGCACGACACGTCGTCAGCGTCTAATAAACTGTCTACCTGCTGCCCATAGCCATGGTCAACGCATCCAGCACGACCGATCCCTTTCTCACCCTACAGCATTGGCCGGCGTATACAGAGCGTGTGCATTGTAGCCCATTCTGTCCAGCCTGCTGAGAGAGCAGGGCAACGGCGCTGTGGCATAGTTGGCGAGTTCAGGAGGGTCGACTGGATCGAACCTATGCGCCCTATCGCTGATGCTACTGTAGAGCTGATCTACGATATGAAACCCCAGGAAGATCGCATCCGTGGATAGGGCTGACGCTGTTGGAGGTGGGAGACGTGAGACTGCCGGCGGAATGCCGTTGACTTTGAGTAACCCAAAGGTGATGCCTCACATGAATGTCATTGTCTAGTCTTCACCATGGCTTCTCACCAGACACACGACAGGGTCACCGGTTTACAGAGCTTCCTCGCAGCCTGTTTCATCAGAACTTTCTTCTATTCTCCTTCATACACAGTACATATGAGACGGGCCCGCCATGCCCGCCCTCATGATTGTGGATAAGCCACGCCGCGAGTGGCTTAAATCACAGTTCACGCGGGGCAGCCAGTGTTCTTCCCACCGACTGCCATGTTGCTCATCCAAGAGCGGTTATTGTACACCTGTCCTCCCAAACCCTGGGCCAGAGGACAGAACGAGGCTCGGGCGGCCCGCGGGAGAAAAAGAACAAAAAACAAAAACAGCAACGACAAGTCACTCCAGATCCGACCGCAGGCCAAGTTCCTCGCTTGGAGTGGGAAAAGGCGGGAGAGGAGTAGGGGGCCAAATGGACCTCTGCGAGGGGCGGGGGAGGGCGTATACTAAAACAACAAAATAAGCGAGGAAGATGCGCCCGCGATCAGAAGTCATGGAGAGGATGCGCCGCCGTGCGTATGCTGCTGGCCGTCTGGGGCCATTCGTGTCTTTGGGTGATTAGGAGGGGAGCTTTCGGTTTTTTTTTTCCCTTGTGGTCGGTCGCACCGAGTGAACCAGAGGCAGGTGATGGCCTCCAGGCTTAGAAGGGAATGTTGGGTGACGGCTGGGCGCCGAGAACCTCCTGCTGCTCCTGGAGATCCTCACCGGCGGCCTCAACAGAGATGGCGACGCCGATCTTTGCTTGTTGCTGCGGAACAGTCAGTAAGACGCTCTAGGCCACATTAGCTCAGGCATGATGATTATCACGTACCGTGAAGTGGTCGACGTCGGCGGCAAAGGTCATCATGACGGGGGCGGCGATGCGCTTCTCGAGGAGACAGCTGAGCTTTCCCTTGGAGTCGACCTGCGCACGGAAGGTGGACATGCGGAAGTCATACTTGGCGCCCATGGTGGCGATGCCCTCCTTCTGAATACCACCCATCATGCCGCCTGAGGGGGCGAGAGACAGCGTCAGGTCGCAACCGGCCTGGACCTTCTCCGACAGACGACGCCAGTAGGAGGTGTTCAGAGCACCCTGGGCTTGCAGCTGGGCGGTGGCGACCCAGTCGTCGGACTTGTAGCGCAGCGAGTACGAGGTGGCCATCTCGGGGCCCTGGGTGAGGCCGGCACGCTGCCAGACAGTCTCGAGACCGAGGGCGAGCTTGGGGGTGACGGACTGGAGGTAGCTGCCGATGAAGATGCCGGTGATGCCGCCGTCAAGGGCAGACGGGTTGAGCATCTTCAAGGAGGCGGTGAAGTCGTCGCCGGTGTACTCGTTCTCGAGCTGGACCATATCCTGGCCGGAACCGGGCACAACCTGGAGCTGCGTCTTGGAGACGAGCTTGTCGGACCACCGGTAGTTGAAACGGGTGGAGAGCTGGCCGTCGTTGTCCATGTTGCCCTGGAGGAAAACCTGTGTCGCGGCACGTTAGCGTTTGCATGAGCACATCTTTTGGGGGCGAGTGGGATTTGGCGGACGCACCTTGCTCGTGCCGTAGAGACCGGCGAAGGTGTAAGGGTTGAGGCGCTCGCCCATGGCGAAGGCGTGGGAGACCTGGAAAAGAGGCGAGATGCTGAAGGCCTTGGTCACGTCGGCACGCAGGCCGGTGAACATGTAGTTGTTGAGGAAGACATCGCGCGTCACCTCCTTGCTCAAGCTCTCGACGGTGCCAGGGTTGGACAGGCCGAGCTTCGCTCTCCTGCTGGAAAAGGAGTTGACGGCATCAGAGACGGCATCGGCGACGGGGTTCGTCGTGAGGAAGGTTCGCAGGGAGTCAATGGTGGAAGCCATGGCTGTGGATGTGATGATGGCCGTGGCCGAGGTAGGTTTGCGGAAAAGGAGAAGGTGAGCGAGAAGCAACAGCAAGCTGGTTGGAGACGGCGACGGAGGGACGCGATGGGAGGAACGCGCACGATGCGAGAAGACGAAAAGGAAGAGGCGCGTCTGAGATGCTAGGAGCTGTGCCCTGTTGCGTCAATGGAACCAGAGATGGTCTTGATGTGCGAGGCTTCACGATCGCGAAGGAGCTTGGTCGGGCGGATGTCGGGAATTGACTTGTCGTGACGTTGCTGGTAAAATAAATTTCTTCAGCCTCTGATAGCACTGGGAGTGTTTCTTGGGGGGAGCACGGGCCTCTGCCTTTCAGTGGTGCACAGCAGGGGGGGGTGGATGAGACTCCAGACAAGGACAGCTAACAGAGAGAGAGGGCACCAGCTGCTTGGTTGCTGCCACTCGCCTCGCTTCCATTGCCTACGACCCGAATCCTCCCTCATCTCGCTCCACTATTCTGGTGCACGTGACATCGGGACGCATACCCGACAAATAGCCAGGGGTGGAGACGGCATGACCCCACCATCGGACCTAGGTTCGTCTGGGCAATTGGGTGATGCACAGAGAGAGAGAGAGCGAGAGCGAGAGAAAGAGGCATCTGAGGTCCCCTTGACAGCACTGCACTGCATAGCACTAGCCCTCCAGACTGACTTTCTTTACGATTCTGTGCTCGGACTGACACGACGTGGCATCCCCCCTAAGAGCTTTCACAAGAAGGCAGGCAATCCTTTGGAGCACTGGGCGAGCAGCGGTGTTTCTGTGGAAACACATCCAGCCAAGTGCTCTCTCGTAGCCGAGAGACCGTTGACATACTCACGATAACCGACGGCGGGTTAAAGCGGGACATCGATATCAAGTTACCAACTCAAAACATAATACCTCAAGCGGTCTGACCAACGCTACGTATACTTGCCTGAATACTTACTTTGGGCAGTCAGGCACACGTCTCTCATCGTTTGCTGTCGCCGCTGCACCCAAATAACTGGATTCGCGCCAGCATCTTGAACTTGAGCAACTTCCATTGCTCCGCATCTCACACCGCAACGCCACTTTACCGTGAGCCTGTCTTGCTTCACTACTCCAAAGTATTGCTGCATGGAATAGAACCTCAATCGCGCAGAGGAAGGGAAGAAGAAGGACCAGATCTCGGCCGACAAGACTGACACAAAGAGATTGACTGCACATCACCAAACATGGACACACTTCTGTGAGTGAAGGCCTTTTCCTTGGTAGTTCCACAGTCCAACCGCAATCCTTCATATCACCCCGTCATTGCCTCCGTTTATTGAGACGATTGCTTGCACCCTTCATATCAGGAGTCACTTTTAAAAGCCACTCACTTCCAATCCCCCTGCAACTACTGGCAGGTGCAAGTGCCAGGTCATGAGCATGGGCCTGCAATGTCGTTCTGCAATTTGGTGAATCACAACCCAACACCCGGTCATGCAAACCTGTTCAACTTTCCGTAACGTAACGGGCCGGCACAACCTATTCGGACGTCTCATTGTCAATACTGATACACGGATCTGTAATGTTTCTTACAACTCGTTCCCTGAGCGCATCCTAAAAATCCCCTCCCCTGCTCCCTCTCTGCCAACCTTTGCAACCACAGCAGATTACCCTTCGTATCGAGCATCGCATTGCCCTGAGCCATGCGTCCCCGCCCCGAACTCTGCTTCGACGGCGCATCGGCTGCTATCGAAGACGACGACGAGCATCAAGATCATCCTAAGGAAGCCAACAGTACTGACCCACGAGACAGCACTGCCGAAATTGCGGCCAACGCCCCACGGTATCGCCGCAAGAGCTCGACTTTCATCGACGGCATTCACGATGTACCTGAGGACCAGGATATGGCGCCGGCCCAGCTGTACAGCACCATGTCTGGACGACTCTTTCACTCGGGCCGCATCGCCATCGTAATGGTGGGCCTGCCAGCGCGTGGCAAAACGTATGGCCCCCTTATCAGTCATCTGGTCACGTTTACTAACAGAAGCAGGCATATTTGCGTCTCCCTGGCACGATATCTTGGATGGTGAGAACGTTCTCCTGTCGTAGCAGCTGGTGACTCTTATTGACGTAAGCAGGCTCGGTGTGAAGACTCGTATTTTTCATCTCGGCGACTATCGTCGGGCGACGGTCGGCGACGGTGGTGCCGTCCCTGAAGATTACTTCTTCCCCAACGCCTCACCGGCATCCGTCATCTTGCGGCAGAAGATTCTCAAGAAGTGTCGCGAGGACATCTACGCCTGGCTTAATCACGAGAACGGCCAAGTCGCTATTTACGACGCCGTCAACCCGACCGCTGGAGGCCGTCGCTCGCTGGCCAAGGAGTTTGCCAAGCATGACGTTCAGGTAAGAATGCTCGCCAGCTGTGCCGCGGAGACAGAAGCTCAACCCATCTCACAGACCTTGTTTATCGAGTCCTTCGTCGACGACGAATCCATCCTGCGGGACAATGCACGAAACGTCAAGATCTCTTCTCCAGACGTAAGTCCTCATATTGCAAGCCATGCCCGAAGAAGCTGCTTAATTACCCCTTGTAGTTTTCCGGCATGGATCCCGACGACGCCGCCGAGCTCTACCTGAAGCGAATTGACATGAAGATCCCCACCTTTGAGATCATGGAGGAGAAGGAACTGAACTACATCCGAATGATCAACGCCGGTCGCAGGTTCTTCTACAACAATCTCTCATTCAACTACCTGTCTCATCGCATCGTCTTCTACCTCACAAACTTGCACATCAAGTCACGCACCACCTTTTTCGCGCGAGCAGGTACCACAACCGAAGAAGACTCTTACAAAGCCGACGCACCGCTCTCCGAACAGGGCAAATCCTACGCCGCCAAAATGTCCGAGGTCCTCATCAAGCACCGCGAGCAAGAGCGGGCGGCTCTGGTCGAGAAGCAGGGAGCTAACGTCCCCCTGCCACCCCTGACCGTTTGGACGTCGACCCGGCTTCGCACGGTGCAGACCTCGGACTACCTCAGGGATAAGGGCTACAAAGTCCGTCAGCGCTCGCAGATGAGCCAGATCAACCCCGGCGTGTGCGAGAAGATGGCCGAACGAGCCATCCGCACCATCTATCCCGAGGAAGTAGAGAAGCACGAACTGGACCCGTATCATCACCGTTACCCCCGCGCAGAGGCAAGTGTCCCCGGTACCCTGTTCATTCGATACTCCATGACTAACCCATTCTTAGTCCTACCACGACCTCGCCGTTCGCCTCGAGCCAATCATTCTCGAGCTTGAGCGCGAGCAGAATGATCTCCTCATCATCGCTCACGAGTCGGTTCTGCGTGTCCTCTACGCCTACCTTATGCACTGTTCCACAATGGACATTCCCTTCCTCAAGTTCCCTCGCGATGAGATCATCGAGATCATCCCAGCCGCCTACCAGAACGAGGCCAAGCGCATTCATATCCCGGGTATCGACCCCAAGATTACCCCCGGCTCACCAGAGGACATCCGAATCCCCGTCCCCGGCAGTATCCCCGGCTCCGGCACCGCCAGCGGCGCGCTGAGTCCCATGCCCGGCCTCTCGTCCCCCGCTGAACCTGTGGAAAGGCCGATCGAAAAGGTTGTCAACTTGACCAAGGAGACTGTTGCTGACAAGGTGCATGATGAGGATTAAGCTGTTCAGTGCGGGTCTATATGGTGTCACAGCCCGCATGGCAGGAACGAGGCTGGAGGTACAAGGCAAGACAAACATCGTCCTCTCAGATCTGGTCGGGTATGCAATCGGGAAACACGCACGCTACCAATCAACTGTTGGAGTTTTTTTGTTTTAAGATGAACAAGATAGGCTGATGATTTTCATGACAACCAAATGCTTCATTACGTCCAAAGGCCCGCTCTACTGTCCTCGCTGAAGGCATGTTCGCCATGCATGACCGGCCGAATGCCTGTGAATAAAACGCGATAGTGGTATATGTTTCTGCGACGCCCTCCCCAAACTCCAACCGCTTTCTGCTTTCGTTGCCATAAATGGCCAAAAGGTGCCCTCATAGTCGTCATCATGTCTCACCTCATCATGGTGGGGAACATGATGCTCTCAGGACCAAACCTGCACGTACGGTACACATGTTGCTCTACATAAGAATGCACTCTCGCTCAGGCTGTACGCCCTTGACCTTGGATTTGCCGCGCTTGTGTCCGTGCTCGTGCCTGTGCTTCCTGGGCGTGCTGTCACATCTGATTCACGTCTGCCTCGAGTATCTGGTAGGAATCTGACTCGAACGACGGACGTGGCAGGTC